AGAAAATTATGTGAATTTCCATTTTCTGAAGTACGAGCTGTGGTTTATTGGGTATTCTTCTTGGATGGCAAACTTGACAGGAAAAATCTGGGGGTGTGAGCAAGAGACCAGAAACCTCTGAGTTGGTATTGCACTTTTAAAAAAAGTATCTGCTCTAAGTAAACGGGTGCTCAAAATACTACTGAATAAAAAGAAAAAATTTTAGATGAGTCTAGGTACAACAAGAAAAATATGTTGGTAAGAGGATGTATTTGAGAGCTTCAGAATGGATTGCATTAAAGCAAGTAAAAAGCTAATTTTGAATTAAACCAGTGTTGTGGTTTTTTTCCCTACGTGCTAGACATTGTAACAAAACTAAATATTCTAAGATGCTTATGAAAAAAACTACAGAAGGAGATCTGACCTGTCGTTAGAGACCTTTGATGCGCAACTCTTCAAAATATATCTAACATAACGTGTGTCATATGCCTCATCTGCCAATGACGCACAAGTATTTTGTGTGTTCTTGATATCAGTGCAGTTCAGAGAAAGAAGGCTCTACATCTAGAACAGCATGGCGAGGCGCAGCCATGGGCAGCTGATGCTCAGAGTTAGTGTGCCGCCGGGCCGGGGCGGTACCGGCCCGGGAATGCATGTGGCAGTAAGACAAGGAGCTCTTTGGTGTCCGTACAGTCTGGTCCTCTGTTAGCTGCGGTACAAATACGCTGATTGCCAGTAATGCAACAGCTTTCCGTTTCGTAATTGTCCAGAATAAATCCACTTTTGCAGCTGTGATGTAACAGCACATGTTAGCAGTGATCCTCTAAGGAACGACACACACCACGTGTAAGGTGGGGTTTACGGATTGTGACCGCAGAAGGGGGTTGGGTGTTTTCTCTTTTTCTGTTTCGGAGGAAAATGGGAGGGAAGAAGCTTTTACTTGCAAATAAGTAACAAGGGGAAAGGGTTTTATAAATCAATAACTAAGTCCAAGAGCCTGTTCTTTTTCTAAACTTTTCAAAGGGGTGATACTAATTAACACAGATATTAAACCTTTGAGGTCCAGTACTGGTACAGAAATGCTTAGAAGAAGATTCTGTATCATGGAATTTATGAGGGACTATGTAAGAAAGTGACATTTGTGCTTTCCCTGACGATATACACAGCAGAACTGTTTGAAGCACTTACTGAGCAAAGCGACATATGAGTATACTTTATAAATTACAGGCGTTTGATGCTGGGTGGGACACATGGTGCTTCTTGCAGTTCTTGAGAAGTGTTTTAATTGGGATACAGGAGATGTGAAAAGGATGTTTGGTGCAGTGCACCTCTCCAGATTGTACTGGTTAATTTTATTTCATTTATAAGTATGACAGTACTTTACTGTCATTCTTGATTAGATGATTTTTATTTTTTTTTTCAATGTGGAAGTTTGTTACCTTCCTTCCTATTGTTTTTCTGACTTCTCAGCGGTCAGGCAGTATGGAAGCTGTTCAGAGTTGCCTACCTCGCCAACTCCATGCAAAATAAGAGGTGTGACTTTGCAAATACATTGAGGAGTTGATCTTTGAATAAAGAATGATATACCTTTAGCTGGAGGGGGAGGGAGAGAAGGGAAGAAAGAAAGGGGGGGAGGGGGAAGCATTTTGAACACTTAAAAGTTCCAGGAATTCATTTTAGGAATGAAGGAACATGAAATACAGTTATTTAGTTGCAGAAAGTTCACTTGAGATGGATTTTTCATATTCAATTTATTAAAACCTGACTTATTCCATTCATTAAAATGTAAATGCCCTGCAAAAATTGGCTGTGAAACTTTTTTTTTTTTAATGGCTGTATGTCTTTAAAGCAGAGGCTTTCTGCTTTCTTTAAGTGCAGCATGTGATTTCTTCATATTGATTCAGGGTGACCTCTTTTGTCCCTGGACCTGAAACTGATGCAACTGCAATCGAAAATACTTGAAGGGGAGGAATCAGAACAGCTTGCTTTCTAGTGGCTTGGCTTTGCAGCTGTGTGCAAACCCATCCCCAAAGAATGCAAAAAAAAAGATTAATCTTGCTACTAAGAGACCTGCTTTGCTTGCTGCAGGGAAAGCTGCTGAACTTTGACACTAAACAGAACCTTATTTTTAGTTCTAATGTACACAAAGGGCTAGCAGGATGCCAAAGGTAATTGTGGCGCTCATATGTGGTTAAAGGTCTGTGGATACAGAGAGCTGATTTTTGTGCGTGGGTACAGAGAGCGTGAAAGTGCACAACCGGCATAGAAAGCGAGTATGCTGTTAAGCTTTCAGAAAGCAAGATGTTGATGTGGGATAGAAGGAAGGTCATGTGGAAGGAAAATCCCAGTGTCCGAAGCACGGTCCTTTTGCATAAGAACAACTAACACCTGGATTCATGAAACCGGCCTACAGACTGTGATTGCAAAACTGTTGTAACTTACGCCATGGGAGTGCGTGATGGGATCAGGGACGTTATTTCCTTGGGTGGTAGAGGTCAGCGTAAAATTTCTCTGAAGTTTGTGTTATGAAAATGTTTTTATCTGCTGTGTCTTTGTAGCTCCCTTTATTATACAATGAAAACATTCAGACTGATCAGCTTTACCGTTAATGGCAATATTGAAAATTTTATGCGTGGTGTTTTTTTTTTTTCTACTACAGGCACCTGCAATAGAAGTCCCTAATCAAAATGCTGCTGCAGCTTTTGTTTTTAGGAAGCGGTCTTGAAACTGGATCAGGAGCAACTGAAGAGTTTCAAGCTTTTGCTTCCCCATTCTTTTCAGAATTGGTGATAAAGGGCATGTGTGATGCTCTGAGAATGGGCTGTGTTTCCAGATACTGCCAACGTGCAATTTCCATCCCAGGCTGTGCAGCTGATGAACATTTGATGCTTAATTTCTGGTCTGCTAGGTAGATTGACAGTCGGCAGATCTGTGTACTGTTATAGTCAACATAAAGACCTTACCTGAGGAATCAGAAAATGAAGATAGTACAGAAACCAAAAGATTTTTGTGAAGGCAGTGTACTTATTTTCTTCTGTTAATTTGTCCATATGGGAATGAAATAAAGCACTCCAAATATTTAAAATCTAGTTATTTTTTTAAATTTTGCTTTGTAGAAGCATATTAATGTCTGTTTAACTGTCAGACATTTCTGTGGGAAAGAAAAGAGAGTATTCAACTGCTCTGTCTAGATAAATGAGAAGATGTGTCTTTATAAATGATGTCATTAAGAAACTGATTCCCATAATATAGAGGTCTCTACAATGAAACTATTTTTAGGTTGTTTCTTTTTTTTAGAAACTCATTATTTCTTTCAAAGATAGAAAAGCTGTTAGCGGAAGGAGCCTTAATACTTACATAGATAAGATGGAATATTTAATTTGTTCCCCCCCTCAGAGAAAATCATATGTGTTTCCCGTTAATTTACTTAAAATAACTTGTTCAGATTAATGGGAAATGTTAAACATTATCATTCTTCTAAAATGGTTGATGTTATATAATTCAACTTGGAACAAAATAGCTGTTACTTCCTATAGTAGAAAACTATCTTTGGTAATGACAGTTGTGCGTATCACATCTGTTTCGCTGGATGACCCAGAGAAGAGTTTGGGGCTCTTTCTGAGACTGTTGAGTGCAAGAGCTTCCCGCTTTGCTGGGCAGAAACATGGACAACCAGAGATCCAGATTCCTTAAACATGTGAATTTAGGAGTCATTATGAATCTCAGGGAAAAACAAGATTACTCTGACAGTTACTGACATTCTTTAAGAAAATCGCTTTTCAGCTTCCTTTCGATACACTGCATCTCAGCGCGTGTTCCGTTTTCCTTGTGTGATCTTAAGTAGTACTCTGGAGGGGAGGGCAGCGTCTTCAAGCTGTGGGGCAGCGTTGGTTTAAAAATCTTCTGGTTTTCCAGTTAGAGGAAGGAAGTTCTAGGAACGCCTTTGGTTGTGAATATGAGAGCAAGGAACCGAATTGGTAAGGTGCTTGCTCAGCTTATGTGAAGCACTTTCTGCTGAGTGTTGCGGGAGGAAAAAGGGACTGCATTTGGTGATCAAGACCTGCTTTCCAGTGCCTTGCTGTGATATTTCTAGTGTCTGTGTGTGTCAGTATTGCAATTCAAATGTCAATGTTTTAATATGCAGACCTTAAACTTGCTAGTGTAGGTGATCCTGTGCTGCTTTTCTCTTAAAATGAATCCAGCATTTAGAATTAGAAGTAGTTGAAATGCCCTTGGGAGCAAGCTGGCATGTGGGATGGTTTCTGTCAAGCAAAAAAAGAAAGGGGAGGGCTGGATCGTTGAAGACTCTGCACAGTGGTGGTTTAGGCATGAAAATAAATCTTTTTGTTGCAGTAACTATATATAAATTCTGTAGAGCTGTGCTTTATACAGATGCCCAACTTAACTCTGAAGTAACTTGAGTACTAAAGGAGATGGAGGTTCACCTCATCCATGTTAATGCACCTTGCTGAGTTTGCTCTGATGCTTCGCTGTGCTGCGAAGACATGTTCTTTGAGGTTAGAGATATGTTATCTAAAGTCTCGCTAGTGAGATTCTTTGCAGAGACAGGCTCAGCCTGAATACAAACCTATTTACATTTTGTCTCTTACTCAGTTTGCTTCTCTTTGGTGGTGACTGTAACTTTCTGTATTTCTTTTTTCCTCCGTTGCTTTGTGCCTCTTGGAACAGTGTGCTGGTGAGATCAGAGGATTGTGCCTTTTTCCACACGTGTATGTAGCCCCATGCCTGGTACTGCTGGTCTGCTTTCCAAGCCAGCTGTCTAGTACTGTTTGCAGGTCAAAGCTATGCAAACGTATGCTAATGCTGCAGTTGGCTTTCGGGGCTGCATGATTGTATAACTGTGCCCTTCCTCCTGTGGCCTTTATTTTGTTACTATGGAACTATTCAATAATTAAACCAGGTGATTTCATTCTAAAAGAGAAGCCTTCAAAAGGAATTCTTTCTAGCAGGCTGTTATCATGTTTCTATCTTTAACCCTTTTCTCTTTAAACAGGAAGAAAATGAACCTGAAATCTGAACGCAGAGGAATTCACGTTGATCAGTCAGAGCTACTGTGCAAGAAGGGATGTGGTTACTATGGCAATCCTGCTTGGCAGGGATTTTGCTCCAAGTGCTGGAGAGAGGAATACCATAAGGCCAGGCAGAAACAGATTCAAGAGGATTGGGAGCTGGCAGAGCGGTAAAGAGCCCTCTTTATTCCTTCATGTTTTACAGTAGGGTGACTTCACTAAATGCTATTCCTGTCTCCAATTTTCTAGTCCTATTTGGTCTGGCTCAGTTGCATCACAAGTTCTCAAATTTGACCTTTTCAGCAAAAAAAGGAATTAAAGTCTTCCTTTTGATGCAAAGATGAATATTTATGGCATTCTAATTTAAGAGGTTTCAAAAGAAAGTCTCTGAAGTAACAAATGTAAACACCCCCCCAACTCTCAACAAATACTTTGACCTAATTTGCATACTGAAATCTGTAATTCTAACTAGCAGTTGGAAGGGTGAAAGTGACAATTTTGATTAAAATACCTCTGCCTCTGGAGACACAGTTATTGTCTTGAATACAGCCAGCATGATGGTTTTACATTTCAGCTACCGATTAAAAAAATTGGGTCTGTGGTCATCCTTTTAAACTGCAGGGTTAAACCCCAAAGCATCAAAGCTTTAGCTTTAAAAATTCAGGTAATTTTTCTAAGCATGTATTTTCTGCAAAGCAGTCTAGTTTTCCTAGTGTGATAAATGCTTGACCCTGAAAATGGGCATTGAAGGAAATCTACGCTTGAGTGAGAAAATAAGAGCAGGTACAACTGCTTTTCGTTGGGTTTGGGTAGAAAGCAAGAGCATTACCCACTGCCTGAGAAACTGCAGAGCATCCTGTTTTGTACCACAGCTGTTCTTCGTGTCGTTTCCAGGTGTGAGTTACATGACATCCGCTCAGAATTAACTGTTTCATGTGTCGTTTCCAGGTGTGAGTTTCCAGGTGACATCCGCTCAGAATTAACTGTTTCAGGATTAGGTGAATTCTTGAGATGGAGGAGCATCTAGCTGTGTATTATGAGTTGATCGGCAGTTGACTTGAGCTGGCCAAGATGTTTGTTCATATGGACACAGATTCTCTACATAAGCTTACCTTAATGCATTAGTGGCATATGCCAGAACTCTAGGAAAAAGTACAAATGCCTGAGAGATATGTACACTTGAGTTTGGAACCCTCCGGTGAACTTGAGTTACCTAGTGATACATTAACCGAGGTCATTGGGGGGGAAAAAAAAAAGGCATTAAGTGCAGTGTTCAAATCAGCCTGCCTGAACAAGGTGACATCTGTGGAAGCTCTCTGAATTTGAATGGGGTCCAAACTGATGGTGATAGTTTGGAAGCCCTAAGTTTTCTGATATCTAACTACCCTAGACCCCCTTACCTTAGGCTTTGAACTAGCTAGTTTGGTTGGTTTTAAAGTTCTCTTTACTGTGTGGCACTGGAAAAAATTAACTGCAAAGAAAGGTAGAAAGAAGTGCTTGAAACCTTTTCTAGCCTCATCAGGAAGTGGCAGGTAAGCTGTTGAGTACAGTACAGAGGATGTGTCATTTGTTCCTCTGCCATAAATTTGGCTTAAACTGTTAATAAGGACTTCAGGATTACTAGAGCAGATAGTTACGCTGTCAGTCTTATAACATGTGCGTACAATAAAATGGGACATTTAAGGAATTCTTTAATAAGTAACTGTTCAGTGGGGAGATGCTAAAGGAGCAGATAAGCTGTGATTGTTGCCTGTAGTGAACGGAAAGTCTCGACCGCACAGATAAGACACAATTCCCGCCTCAAGAGATTACAAAGGCAATACCACTTGTGGTCCATCCTGAGCTGGATGGATGTTTAAAGAAAATTGCTCAACCTTTTAGCATCTCCAAGAGCGATATAATTTAATCCATTTTAATCCTCCTGCACAGGAAGCAAAGTAGCTATTGAAGGATGAGCATGTTTGCCCCCCCTGCCCTTTATACATGTAGATTAAAGGATGGGCTTGGTCTTTGCAAGGCACCCATCAGTGTTGCAATGAAGTGGCTTGCCTCATTCATTCAAGCAAGCGTATGTATTACCAAGACTTTGAAAACAAATGATGACAACAATTACCTGTTTCCCAGAACATTTCTGAGGTTGTGACAGGGTATTTTACTTGCTCAGCTGCGAGCCATGGTTTTTATCTTCAATAAGGTAGTAAAGGATTGCCTGTGGTAATAGGATATGAAACAGAACGGGATGCAGGGGGGAAGGCAACTGAATTGATTATTGGAAGTGCTCTCACAGTTTTTCCCTTCACTTCTACCTTTGTAGAATTTAGGGCTGTGAGATGAGGGGAAGGTGACCGTGATTATACTTCAGTCTCCTCCCTTTTGACCTTACTATTTAATCCTCCCTGGCCATCTTAAGCTTTCCCTCACTTTCACCCTTACAACATGGGAAGAGTGGACTTAATGTAATGGAGGGAGATGTGGTAGGAAGCAAGAAACAAAGATGGGTATAGAGGAGAATTAGCCTATCAAGTGAGTAATTAATTTATTGTACAGGAATTAGTTTATTTGTGCTGATTTTAAGCACTTAAATTAGACCTACATTTTTCTACTTCCAGGCTTCAGCGCGAGGAGGAAGAAGCGTATGCCAGTAGTCAGAGTACCCAAGGGGCGCAGTCGCTGACCTTTTCAAAATTTGAAGAAAAGAAAACCAATGAGAAAACACGAAAGGTCACTACTGTGAAGAAGTTCTTCACTGCTTCTTCCAGAACAGGAGCTAAGAAGGGTAACTTTCTCCTTTGCATTTAATGGTTCTGTACATGTGTTAAGTTGTATTTTTGATAGAGGTATTGTACTAAAAGGCAGAGTAATGCTCTGTGACTTGACTTTAAAAAATTGGAACAACGATGCTTCTGGAGAGCGATACGTGAAGTCACACAGAAAAACGTGAGCTTTTGGGTGATGCCAAACAATCTTTTAAATAGAACAGTGCAATTCTAAACCTGTGGCTATGTTTGTGTTAGTTATACAGGAATTCTTCCACTAGAGTGTAGTACAAACATTCCTACTGGTGATCTGCCACTGCACTGCTGAGTAGAATTATCTTGTTCATATGACAGAAATTCTTGCTAGATTCATGAGTCAACCATAGTGTGATACTGTGGTTCAGGACTTGAAGGGAAACTCTTCCTGAAGAGAGCAGGAGAAAAGGTACTAGCTGTCAGTCACCCCAAACAAACTGTTATGTCAAAGTGTGATAGAAATGCTGATACAAAATATCAGGCGATGTTGCCATAATGGATCGCTTCAACAGCTTTAACAGGAAAACTGGAATGTATAAGCAGGGTGCCTTTAAATGAAATTAAATATGAAAGGAAACTTGTAATGCTTATGTGTATGTGGGTTGTGAATATCAAGTTTGTGGTTGGCTGGATGTTTATTCTACAGCATGTGTTACAAGTCAGAATGATTAATGGCACTGATGTCTTTCCATAGCAATAGCTTACATGGGCAAAAAACAGGAAATGCTAGACTGTGCAGGAGGCATTCCAGAAGAAAAAGCAACATTAATGTATCTTGGCCTTATGGGTGATGCATTTCCTTAACAAGAAGTTGTAAATATGTCTGGATTTAATCTTAGAATTTGTCCTGGTGCATGGGCAGCAGCTGGCTAACAGGCATTCAGCTATGTGTTAAGAACTTTTTTTACGTTCATTCTTCTCACCTTCCATATTTTCTTTTTTTTTTTTTTCTTCCATTCACTGTCTCTCCTGACACGTGCCTGCTCTTGGTGTCTTGCTTGCTTTTGCATTTATTTCAGTGGCTCAAGAGAAAATCGCTAAGCAAGGACAGCTTGGGAGGGAGCGAAATGCTGATAACATTCTCAGGGATTTGAAGGAAATTTTTACTCCCTCCTGGGAACTGGCTTCCCCTACTGAAGGTAATGCAGTACAGCTTGAGCAAGCTGTCTGCTTCATTAGAGTAAGCTTACTTCTTAGTTGGGCTTTGCAAAATACAAACTAGGGTTGTGCCAGTAATAACTTGTGCTGTTGAATACGAAAATGACATAAAAAGGAAGCGTAGCATCTTGAAGTGAACTTGAATCTCTAAACCCAAAAAATAGCAATAAAGCTGAAGCTTCTTTGAGCTCTACCTTAGCGTGACGTCTGAAGGATTATGCCGTTTCAAAAAAATTAGAATTTTATAAGAAGTAGCTAGATCTTGTGCTGCTTCATATTTTTATCAAAAAATAATTCCAGGGTGCCATTATAAATCTGATTATAAATTTAAACTACTTCAATTTAATAGTTCACACTTCAAGAACTTTTGCAATCTCAAAACATCTCCAGATGTTTGTTACAGTAATCAAGAAGACAATTTCATATCAAGAGAAGACATACTGGTTTCATTTAAACCAAAAGGACGCCAAAACCCATGATGCAAATGGCTTTAGGATCTTATCCTACGTTATTTGTTTGCAATTCTGACTTATTCTGCTGACTAAAGAAATTTGAAGATGTACCATTCTTTATTTTGCAAAATATATGAAGAAGAAGAATGGCTGTGCATACTAGAGCTAATGACAAACCCTTTTTTATGTTCCTTGCTTGGACTCAGATGTATGACCATGGCACAACCATAGTGAATCACTGGAGTGCTAATGTTCTGCTGTGACAACTAGCATTTTTGTAGAATGCCTTGAGAAAGATTTTAATAGTGTTCATTCTTTGTAAAGGTGATCCTTTATTAACTCTTCCCATACTCTTTCTTTACATTTTGACATATCTCCTCTACTCGGTTCTCTACCTTGTTCAGGTGGTATTTCTTCCCTGTAATCAGGTTCTTTTTAGTAAGACTTAATTCTGAATTTTTAGAGTACATTACAAAGCTGAAAATATTTTGTTGCTGAAAGTATATTTGTTCCTGCAATCCTTAGTGCATATTGTACAGATTTGTTTTCCTTAAGTCAGGATTTCTACGTAGAGATTAATGAAGTTGCAACATTTCTAAGCGACTACGTGTAGTTCTTGGTGTGACTCATTAAAAAGACAGTTCATTCTAACCCTCAATTGTTTTTTAATGGCTACATTGACAGTAGTCTGCCTTAGTTGGCTACATCTCTCTAGTAACTAAAAAAAAAATCTATTTTAAATTTGTGACTGAAAAAGATCATATTCATATTCCTTGAGGTCAAATAGCAGAATGAAATTCATTATTTTTATAATACAGTGAACTCAACGTTGAAATAAGTAAATAAATCTTAAGCTGTTCTTTGAAATGAAGTCAGTAATTAATTATGGAAAAAAAATCTTCTAATTCTACCCTTTCAAAATGTACCTGCTTTCTTTGTTTATTATTTCAAAGCTATGCTTTCTTCTTACTGGTTATGTAATAGTAAATGTAACAGATTTAGATCCACATACAGTGATGGTTCCCGTTCAGCTTGAATACTGTACAGCATTCTACTTTGAATCTTGGGTATGAAGGTTAGAGGAAATCCCCTCTGGAAAAAGTGTTCTTGTGTAATTAGAAAGAAGATTGATTTGCACTCTTTATCTTGATTGCTGTAGATGGAATGTAAATATTTGTAAAACCTTTTCCATTCTTATTACTTAAATACCATAAATGTTCTAATGGTACCTGACCAAATGATCCGGAGAAGGTTATGCTGAAGTGTAGAGGTCCTAACGAGTCTTGTGCTTTGGTCAAATGATGAGTGTTTGTTAGTCACTGGATCATACAGCTTTGAATTTACTGTAGTGCTGGATCTCTTTAAAAGGAAATAACAACAAAAAAAGCCCTGATAAGCTACCTCAAGTTCAAATTTAAACACACCAATTTAAATGTACTAGTCCCATTTATTTCCTTTTATGTTGGAGTTCTGCATGTATGCTTGTTGAAACAAGGATTTTTTTGTTGTGCATGTTAGTATTTTCGGATTGAAAGATATGTTTGTGTCATGTTGATCATGAATATTTTCATATTTTCTGTCTCTTTGCTGCTTGCTTTTCATCACGTTCATTTACATCATCTCTGTTCAATCCTTCATTTTGAACAGTCTTGGCTGGCAAGCTGAAAGGTGGGTGAACTAAACTTGGGTAGCGAAGGTATTGGATCAGTACAATAAACTTGCAACGTATACCTTGGAAAATCAGATGTGTTGGTGTGGAAAAACTCTGTGGTTGCAGCTATATAAACTTGCATCCAGTGCTGTGTGCGGTCTGTGTTCCTACCTACTTCTCGAGTGCCAAGCAAATTCTTCCTTGAACAGATGTGGTGCTTCTGCTCTTGCTGAAACACGAATGGCCAAGTTCTCATTTACACTGCAGGTGTGACTCTGGCATCTGCTGCCTTTGCACCAGCCTGGTGCTCCCATTCCCTGTCTTCTGCTGCTGTTCCTGTGACCTGGCAGACAGGCAGCCAGCCTGGGGAGCTGATGGAGCTGAAAAATAACCCCATAAGAAACACCGATTTCTGACTAGGACTGCCCCAAACTGCTGCTTCCTGAGCTAGTCCATGAGCCAGTTGAACGAATGCTTGTGTTGCTGCAAGCGAAGGAGTGGGAATGTAAAGGTGAGGGAGAATGGAAAAGGAACCACTCCATTATCTTAAACGGCTGCAGAATCCTGTCTGGAAGCCTTGACCTTATATGGAGATATCTTACCTGGGAATGAAAATGTAAGAAACCAGAAAACAAACCCACGTTACAGTAATATGCTAATATAAAAAGGCCATTAGTGTAAATGGGTATGTGGCTATAAACGTTTCACTCCAGTGAAATATTCAGTTTCCTAGAGTTCTGTTGAATAATATCCAGCATTTCACTGGCAAAGCTTGAGAAATAAATGCTTATTCATCTGCACAGTTGAAAAAAACAACCTGAAATTTTAATACATGTTAAACACTTCCAGAATTCATCCCTCAATGCAAAAAAGCTGATCTGATGTTCCCAAACTTTCCCAGCAGAGATCCAAGAAGCCAAGGCTCCCAGCCCTTCCATAAACAGGCAGGCCAGCATCGAGACAGACCGAGTATCCAAGGAATTCATAGAATTTCTCAAGACGTACCATAAACCTGGACAAGATATCTATAAGCAATGTAAACTATTTTTGGACACAATGAATCATAAAAGGGTAAGTTTTGCATGCCTTTTACATAAATAAAATGGGGAAATTAGGGAGAGATGGAGAAAAGGCTTCTCTTCTTCCAGCGGTTTGGTTTTTCTACATTGTATACAGGAGTCTTCAGCTGAAATGCTTAGTCAAATGACGATCTAGTGGCAGTCTTAAATTCTGAATGCCTTCCTTTTTGGTACGGTATGTGACCAAAGAAACCCTCCCACGCCAGGATCTCAGGTGTTATGAGAGAACTTTGCTTTGCATCCTGAATAAATTAATTCTGAAAGATAAAATGCCTGTTGAACGAACAATTGTCTAGATAAATATGACTTGTGGAAATCATAATATATTACATAATGTGTTTTGAGGTGTCTTAAGTCTAAAAAGTTATAAAGATAATACAGTATCAAACCACGTCTCCCCTTTGGGGAAGGGGAACTTGACTGTGCTTTTTTTTTTTTTTTTAATAGGGAATAAGGGTTATATCTTCATTCTCCATATAAAACATTTGGTGTTCTTGAAACATTAATGTGTCTGTGGTGCCACCTATGGTTGAAGTGAGTCAGTATACGGCGCCCTTCTTTTTTCCCCTTCCTGTACCTCTCCTATTTAGTATGTAGTTACTCAAATTATATCAGATTGGACTGGAAATTAGAGGGAGTTCTGATGGAATCTTACACAGCCTCCACTTTGAAAACATCTTGAAGTCTTTTTTTTCTTTTGGAACTGATTCATTCTGAGGATAAAGCGTGTGAAAATAGTGTATCATTATTATTGGTTATAAACACTGAAGGTATTCTCGCTTCCTGGTTCCTTGATAATTTGTGCTAGTCAAAAAGAAGTCTTTCTCAAGCATACAATTTGCTGCTACACGTAAACCAGGCCTAAAATGCAGCACTGCCATCAGAGCTGAGACTTTGCATTCGTGGCAATTGTCTAATTTTTGGCCTTAGAGAATTCAGAAACTAAGTTCTCTCTCCATTTTTTTTTTAACATAAGGTTTTATGCTGACATTTAATGCTGAAAATTTACTTGATCGATAAAGCTAATTTTAACCCTTAAAAACCTCCATTATTTTCTTCAGTAGCTCAGTTAGTTAATGCTCAAAAGACAATGTTTTGCAAATAACATTATGAATATATGTTATAGTAACTTTATCGTTACAGTGTTTACTGTATAGATATTCTTTCAAATATGTGATTTATGTTCTTGCTTTTTAGGTAAACTGTATATCATCTTTTAAAAAATTATAGACCCTAAATTGGGAGCAAACATTATTTTGTCACCATTACTTGGGGATGCATCTGGGGAAAATGGCATTACACCTGTCCAATTCCGTTGCTAATATACATCTGTTCAGCAAATAAACATGTCTTTCACATGTTAAAGGGCCAGTATGTCTTGGTTTCTCATATTTTTGAATATAATTCAGCCAACATAAACACCTCTGGTGATATATTTGCATTCTCAGACTGTTACTGCAGCTGGACACTTTCCTTAAACAAAACCAAACCATCAGAGGCATTGCTGCTATTTCTTCCACACATGTACACTTCATCAGTTTTCTATTACAGGACTTAAGTATTGAGGAGCAATCTGAATGTGCCCAGGACTTCTATCAAAATGTAGCAGAGAAGTTACAGACACGGTGGAAAGGTATCGTGTTCCTCTTCCTCATATCTTACTGCTGAAAAAGTAATGATTTGAGGATAAAGCCTCTTGTGTTTTCAGGTAAAAACGAGGCATTCCTAAATAGCTTTCAGAAATGCTGTTAACAAATTCTAGTGCCATAGCTAGAACTATTCCCAGCAGCACCAGTTCTATAAAGTTTTGCAGTCTAAATTACTTGTTTTTACAGGTTTTTCTCAAACTCTCAATTAAATGTGGTGCAATCGTTTTTATTTCTTGTTTTAAATTCAATACTATTTGTTTAAAACTGAGGTTAAATGTGTAGCCTCGACCCAGTTAACAGACTATGAGCCTTATGTTATACGATAATGCCCAAAAAGCCAGTGAGAGGGGAGCGGTGCTGTTACAAACTGCTTTTTTGGTATGTAAGTGGCACAGCTTAAACATACCCAGGGACGTTTTTTAGACGTAAACAGGAACAGAGGACTTGGAAGACCTTACTGGATTTATTCTCAAAGACTGTATTTTTGGGAAATATTCCTGTAAGCTACAAGCAGCTGAACGTAATTTGTGTGTTGAATGTGCTAAATGAATGTGCTTCATTGTGAATCTATGCATGTACTTACTTTGGCATGTCATTATGGTGTTCTCACCATTATATTTTTACTTCTGCTGTAGAGAGTGAAAGTCCTCCAAGTATATCCATTCCTTATTAACTCAGGTTGGCTCAAGTCAGTAGTACTGATTTGGTGATATTAGGACCAAACTGTATTAAACCTTCAAAACAGACACGGAATTTATTTACCGTTTTGGGGTGGGATTTGTACCTTTCAGTGCCCCCTGAAAAAGTTGAGAAAGCAATGGATCAGATTGAAAAATATATTATGACTCGACAGTATAAATATGTCTTTTGCCCTGAAACAACTGATGATGAGAAGAAAGATCTTGCTGTCCAAAAGAGAATCAGGTAAGTCTCTGAAAGAAAAATAGCCGAGTAATCCGCGGTCTTGTGAATGAGCTCTGAATCAAGCACATTAAAAATCTTCTGCTGCACGCACAAAAATGGCAAGCCTTTTAAACAGAAAGAGTTAAAAAGACTTTATTTAAGAAACAGAAGGAATTAATAGAATGAATAATGAAAGCTACTGCGCTAGGAAAACTAGTTGGAGTGCTTTTGTTAAATATTGCCCCCCAAAAAAGAAAATATTTTTTCTGAAAATAAATTACTTCAGTGGAATAAACTGGTTTATAACTGGACTAGTGCCTCATTTACACAAAGCACTCCTTGTGCATTGAATTAAAAAAGCAGCTGGTTTCAAACACCTGAATGTTACTGGCACAGAACCGTTTAACTTTTTTTTTTTTTTTTTTTTTTTTTTCCTCATCACAGGGCTTTGCACTGGGTAACTCCACAAATGCTGTGTGTTCCTGTCAATGAAGAAATTCCAGAAGTCTCTGATATGGTTGTAAAAGCAATTACAGGTTTGTGAACGATGAAGTTTACATTTTGAGCTTTAAATTTCAGATCTCTTGTTCACAGAGATTATTTTCTGCTGTCGTCAAAAGGGGGTCCAGGCTTTTAGATTTGCAGTAGTCTGTGTGGTATTCGACTAGTTTATCATCTGTGAAGCGGGAATAATTTTTCCATCACAAAAGTGTTTAGGCTTACCTGATCTATTTTAAATGCTTGGACTGAACCAAGAGAAGGTTGAATAACCAGATGCTTTTATGGAACATCAGACACCACAGATAAAAATGATGCTATTTTAGTATTGTCCAGTAAGTGTCCTACTCATTCAGGTATCTGATTAATATGGTTTTAATGATTTGAGAACTTTGTTGTCTTACAGATATTATCGAAATGGATTCAAAGCGTGTCCCTCGTGATAAATTAGCATGCATCACCAAGTGCAGCAAGCATATATTTAATGCTATTAAAATCACAAAAAATGAACCAGCTTCTGCTGATGACTTTCTTCCAACACTTATATACATTGTTTTGAAGGGAAACCCACCCCGCCTGCAGTCTAACATCCAATATATAACACGCTTCTGTAATCCAAGCAGGTTAATGACAGGAGAAGACGGCTACTATTTTACCAATCTGGTAAGTGCAGGGACAGTGGTGACATTTTAGCCAACAAGATTGTCTTTTATTTGGATGTAGGAATTTCCAGTAAAGGCAAACACAGCGTACCTTAGAAGGAAAATTAAAACTACTCTTCAAATGGTGGTTGAGGATGCTTCGAGTACAGCAAGGTCTTTTGCTTTATATCTCCTCTCTCTTCCTTCTCTGCTTTCCAAACCAGTCAGCGTTTTGCTTTCTTTATAATATTAAACCCTTTATTTCAACAGTCTGATGCCAAGACTTGGGTATATTTGTATTCTGTCAGGAGATAAGTACTTTCCATTCCTAAAATCCTGAGTTTGGACTGTGCAGATGTTACAGATGCAGAGGTCCCCATTTAAGCCCATGAGAGTTTATCTCTTGGAGGGACTGCAGAAATAGGCCATTAACGTGTGGAGCAAGAGGCATTTATTGGTGTGCTTTTTTATATTAGAAGGAATTATGATTATGAACTTGGCTTCTCTGCATTTCATCATAAAGCAATTTTTGAGGGAAAATATGTAGTTGAATGTGAAATACTTGGAATGTTAAACATTCCTTTCAGTAGGAGGAGAGCATCCACTAGGTACAATGGGTATTTGACATTTATAGAGAGCATAGCAGGTCTCTGCTGATCGGGTTATGAAATATTAATATAGTGCTCTTGTCTAGTTGACATGTCTTGTTCTTTCTGGTCTCTCACCTCCAAAATGCAGTGACCCTGACATTTGTAATTGATGTTACCCAGTGAGTCAGTACTGCTCGAGTGAAGTGGTGTCTTCCTGTATACTCCTCTTGAGTTTTCAACTTCTTCAGACTCTGGGGAGAGAAGAGAGGCGCGTGAACTGTCTGGTATTGTTAGCTTCTGGAAGAGGTCTTTAGGAGCAGTCTAAATAGGCATTAAATAAAATAATCAGTTATTGGTCTATCAGTGGGATTAAAAAAAATAGAATGTGTAAGTTCCAATCTGTGGCTTGCAGTAATACTCGCTCTGTTTCATTTGCAGTGCTGTGCTGTGGCCTTCATTGAAAAACTGGATGCTCAGTCTTTAAATCTAAGCCAAGAAGATTTTGATCGTTTTATGACTGGTCAGACATCCCCGAAGAAGCAAGAATCCGACAGTTTTTCGCCTGATGTGTGCCTGGGTGTTAAGCAAATGTATAAAAACTTAGACCTACTATCTCAGTTGAATGAGAGACAGGAAAGAATTGTCAACGAAGCCAAGAAGCTTGAGAAAGACCTAATAGATTGGACTGATGGAATTACAAAGGAAGTCCAAGATATTGTAGAGAAATATCCATTAGAAATAAAACCAAAAAATCAAGCCTTAGCAGCTATTGACTCTGAAAACGTGGAGAATGACAAGCTACCCCCACCACTGCAGCCTCAGGTTTATGCAGGATAATTATCAGTGTTAACTTTGAAAAGCATCATTATCCTCACCTAGTACTATCTGCTCCTTGGGAAGGGAAGTAAATTTAAGGCTAAAAATGAAATGAGCTTAAATCAGTACATTTTTAAAGGTACTTTTTTTTTTCTTGAGTGTATTGTTAATTGTATTTATTTTAGTTAAGTAGATTTCTATTAGGCTTTTGTGGGTTTTGAACTGAATTGAAATTTTCTACACAAACCGGTGTAATTTTTAAGCAACACTAGTCCCTTGACATCTTTCCTGAAAGCTTCCTTCTAGGCATGCACTTACTTGTTTTTAATAATTAGTTTAACTAAAAGAATTCGAGTTCCAGCAGAAACTTGAAAGGTACCAATGTTAGTCTGAATTTATTCTGTAGCTGTAAAGACGAAATATATATTGTAAAATATGTAAAATTGTAAATAGATTTAAAAGCTAATGTTTCAACTGTGCATGACATCTTGTGTATGAGTGAAAATGATAGAAAAGTGTTCATTTTAGCACCTTTCAGTTAAATCACATCGCAGAATAAAGGCAAGCACACTGTTGATGTGTAAGCTAGGTGGTATCACTGATGAATTACACTCAGAAGATATTGTTGTAATGATTTGAAAACTTGACATTAATCTTGAAATCTGCTCTGTAAAAAAAAAAAAAAAAAGTGCTATTTAAAATGTGACATTTCTTCATGTAAACGTTCTCTCTTCTTTGTCAGTACACCTAATAGCCTTCAGTGGTGCACGTAAGTGCTGATATTACTGCTTTCGAAGAGAATGTTGAGCTAAGCTCCAGAAAGGAAGGAAATATTTTTATTAAAAATTGCATAATGTGGAACAAAAAGGGGGCGGGGAGGAGATAGTGCAAGAGTTGCACCAAAAGTGGCTTTCTTTTTCTGCCATTGCCTCGTAATTTCCATTGGTGGGCCACGTCTTGATTGCTTTTTTGACAATCCTGGTAGATAAATAAGTTCATATAATTAGAGGCTGCTTTTTAGAAGAAACACGAGCCATTGCTCTGGGCAGAAAAGTGCACTTTATTTTCATGAAACATCAGTCTTCTGATCTTTAGTGACACCCCCCCTTTAGCAAAGGGAGTTACCTTGCTAAAGTGTTGAACATCAAGGTGAACATGACTTTATGTCTCTAGAAGTTTAATGGGTGTGTTTCAAGAATAATAGTTCATTCCACAAAAAGTAACCTCTTGCAATATAACTTTTTTATGCCAGTGAAAACATTTTATATATAATTTTAAATATCTTCCAGTTAATCCAGTCTGCCGTGACTTGTTTGTGTACCTGAGATATCTAACATAAAGCTACTTAGCTTGAACTACTCTTAAACAATGTTAAATTCTTACCATCAAGGAGGAGAGTACCTACCTCTTTATTATCATGTTCCACTGCTTTAAAACATTGCTATTTTAGATTTGCACTGCAATAATTTCAGACCACAACTGTGATTTGTCCCTTTTTGTCAAATGTATTTAGCCTTATGAACTATGCATTCCTAGTGTTTCAGAGAGAACCAGTTACCCAAAACTCCACTCCTGAGGTGAAGCAATGAGCTAATGGGATGATCACAAGAAATTAGATTATTTCATGTATCCGTGTGTCACTGCGCCCAAATTGCTTAGAATCTGACCATGCTTGCAGTAAACAATACTGTAAAGTCTTTATTTTCTTTACAAACACTAGGTGCTACTTCTGATATCCAGGTACACAGGTTTTCCTGAGGGGAGGGGGAAAAAAAAAAAGCAAACTTTGAGCTATTGTGTAAATTCTGATGTTTAAATAAAAGTGTGTACATTATGCCCTTGTTAATGAGTTCCTAAAAATCTCTCACTGGGTTTTGTTATGCTATTAATGATTAATGTGAATATAATTGTGACTGCTTCTGCATTCTCTGTGTTTTGGGAGAGACAGTTCTTGGCCATTCAGGTGCAAGTCTAGGTAACAATGTCTTTTTCTTTGCAGAAAGATCATTGTAGTGATTAAGTACTTAAGAACGACTCGCTGGTGCTTTTGTAACTGAAGTCTTTCTAATTCATGTGCCACCTTGTTACCAAGCCACTAAAGTGGGAGCGTTTGCAGCAAACAAATCCTCTGAATGCCCCGTAAGGCAGGTAAGATGGGTTTCAGGTAAGCTGGATTTCCGTGCTCCATCCGAAGGTTTAGCCAGCAGGAGCCGTTTGCTCCTGGCCACGGTGGAGGCTGGTTGGTAACAACGCTGGGAGCAGCTCTCACGGGAACTCGCATTCTAGCGTTTGAGTAACCACACCGCTTTAAAACCTTGTCAACATTTTATTAGGCAAATGACCGGTCTGTAGGTGAAGAAAAGTAAATCGTTTTGTCTTGCTTAAAAGGAAGGTAGTTCAGTTGCCCCAGTGATAACTGCAGAGTATGTTTCCAGCGTTGAAAAATTCAGACTGGGCAAGCCATCCTGCACAGGGCGCTGTGAGGTGCCGGGCGCTGCGCTGGGAAGATGCTGATGAACCCTCATGTTAGCGGTACTGGGTGGGTTTGGTACTTGCCCCAGGCTCGGGGTACTAGGCGTCACTGCAGTAGAGAGATGCTCTGGTCCCACAGGCAAATTTGGGATAAGATACAGTGAGAGACCCCAGGGTCTCTCGAAAAGTTATGAAACAGCACCTATGAACAAGTTACTTGTGAGCTAGAGAATTTAATTGAAATACTGTCTTAAAGTGAATTGGCATATAGGCTGCTGTGCTTTGGTGACGGTCACAGTGTCAGAAATTCTTTGCTTTTTTCAACAGCCCACTACTGATTCAGTAATACTGAAAATGAAGACCCTGCAGCTCAGACTAGGAATCCGATCTTAAGTTGTAAGCTACTTCTTTGCATGTGAACTGCCTATTTATTTTGCTGTAGTAAAGAACCTATTTTACAGGAAGTACTGGTTAAACTGTGCAACATCTTTGGTTTCACATAACTGAATTATGAAATTGATGATAACTGGGTAAAAGAATTAATTTAATGTTTACTAATTCTCTGGTGTATATTCTCTTGTGGCTGGGTATCTTATGCTTGAGAGAGGCACAGGTAGATGCTGATAGATACAGATAGTGCTATTGAACAGCAGTTTAAAAAAAAAGGGGGGGGGGTTAAAATCGTTGAGGGGAGAGGAAGCAGTGTTCTGTCTGATAAAGAGCTGAACCTCAGAGGTTCATACGTTATAGTTGCTGCAACACAGCACAAAACAGTTTGGCACTTTGTCTGGGTGTCCAGGAGGAGATAAGGTGTCCTTTTGCTTCATCTACAGCCACCATCCTTTTGTCAGAGACGTGTACAAAAGTAGTGTATGTGTTGGGATATTTTTACCATCCAAGAGGCTTGCCAAATGTGCACTGGCGCTGCTACCTCCTGCTCTCCAAAAGCCATGGTCAAGAAGGGAGTCTGTCATTAACTAAGGCGAGTAACTCAGGGCTGTCCTTAGACATTGTTGAAGACAGGGCCATTTCTGACCTTTCTAAGCTTCAGGAAATTACTGTAGTTTTACCTTTCTGAAGTACCACAACGATTGCACGTACTGAGGGACACTCTCCTTCCAGCGTGTCGAAGTGCTGCAGTCGGGGATGGGTGAGCAGGTAAATCGTGTGGGTGCTGCAGCTGTCCTTGCTGTGAACAGAGTGGTGACGGCTAAACCAGCTGGGTAACGCTGGAGGGCCGGGAGTGCGGTTACCTTCGCTTGTCCCTTCACTGGACAGAGCCTGGCTCTGCCTTCTTGACACCCTCAGGTATGTGGGCAAGATCCCCCTGAGCCTTCTCTCTTCTGGGCCCAGTTGTCCTCGCTCTCGGCTGTGCGCACCCATCCCTCCATCATCTGCATCGCCCGTGGCTGGGTTCGCTCCAGTGTGTTACTCCTCCTCAGGAACAAGACTTTAATTATAATGAAGGCCAGGAGAGGAGAATGTAAAGTGTTATTCTTCTAGTTCCTTCCAACTCCTTTAAGGATTTCATCTTGAATGCTTTTAGATATTCACAGACTCATCTCAGTTCGAAGGGACCTTTCAGATCATCGAGTTCCAACGGTTAACCTGACATTGCCAAAACCACCACTAAACCACATCCCTCAGCACCACGTCTGCCCGTCTTTTAAATACCTCTAGGGATCGCGACTCCACCACTGCCCTGGGCAGCCTATTCCAATGCTTGACAACCCTTTCTGTGAAGAATTTTTTCTTAATATCCATTCTAAACCTCCCGTGGTGCAACTTGAAGCCATTTTCTCTTGTCCTATTGCGTGTTATTGGGAAAAGAGCCCGACCCCCCTCACTACCCGCTCCTTTCAGGGACCTGTGGAGAGCGATAAGGTCTCCCCTCAGCCGCCTTCTCCCCAGGCTGAACACCCCCAGGTCCCTCAGCTGCTCCTCACCAGACGTGTGCTCCAGACCCCTCACCAGCTCCATTGCCCTTCTCTGGACACCCTCAGTGTCTTTCTTGTCATGAGGGGCCCAAAACTGAACGCAGCACTTGAGGTGGGGCCTCACCAGTGCTGAGTACAGGGGAACGATCACTTCCCGAGTTCTGCTAGCCAGGCTATTTCTGATAGAAGCTGGGATGCTATTGGTCTTCTTGGCCACCTGGGCACACTGCTGGCTCATATTCATCCGGCTGTCCACCAATACCCCCAGGTCCTTTTCTGCTGGGCAGCTTTCCAGCCACTCTTCCCCAAGCCTGTAGCGCTGCATGGGGTTGTTGTGACCCAAGTGC